TTACCTAAAAATTAAAAAGAAATAAAAATAAATCAGGAAATAAAACTCCCATACAGGTAATAAATCCAGTGAATAATGGTTTAAAGAAAAGGGTACAACAAAATGCGAACGAAAGCTAGGGAGAAAAAACGCTTGAGCACCAACTATCAGTTAAGCTTTCTTCAGGAAATGATTATCTACTCTAACGTTTAAAGAAATAACACTAAATGTTTAGATAAAACATTCAATGCAAATCGTCGATAAATTTATTGTTCAGAGGTTTGCAGGAACGTAGTTTGATGCTGCGGAATGGAAAAATGAATAGGAAATCAAAAAAAAGAAAGTGAAATATAATGAATTTTTTAAAAAACTTCGGCAAATTTTTTGTTTCAATTTAAAAAAAAAGGAAATCAAATACAAAACTCTTTCTTCAACGAAGACAAATCAATTACTGACAAATATTTGAGTACTTTTCTAAATTATTTGAATTTAACAAATTTTTTAATTTGTATAATTAATGGTGAATTTTTCATTTCAAAATCAAAATAAAAGTGGGTAAAATAAAAAAGAGAATGGGAAATATTTAATGATTTTTTTCTTTTCATTTCAATATTTTGTAATGAATTTTTTTTATTTATTCAAAAAAGATTTAAAGAACAAAGATTGAAAGTTTTATTTACAATTAAAATAAAAATTAATGCAAAAAAAAGGGAAAGAAAAAAGAATAGTGATATATTTGAATTTGGATTAGAATGCTATCAAGCATAAAATGATAATAATTAATGATATATATTCTGTTAGTATCGATGATAACGACAACAACAACATGATATCATCATTGAACAAGCTATGTGTTATCAATAACAAGATTTTATCACAGAATAACAAAAACATTATCACAAGACTACTAATAGGATATTATTGTTGTTTATTTATTTCAATAAAAAGATAATGAATTAAAATAAAAATAATGAAATAAAAAATAATCGGCATCAATCATTTCATTAGCATATTATTTGCAATTAATTTATACTATAATTAGATTAATTAATTAATTGCACACATTTTTAAGTTCATTTCCTTTATTGGTATAAATATAAGGAAAAATTGTACAAGGTAAGCATATGATAATATGAAAAATGGTAAAGGTTGATATAATCAGCAGGAGATAAAATGGAAATTTTAATTATTGATAGCTTAATTAGCTCGATGGATGAAGGGAATAGTTTGATGGCTGTTACCTTGCACAATGATATCAATTGAAATTTGCTATTGAAATGTTGTTGCTATGTAAAGTGTAATTATGTTAATTAACATAAATTTCTTTCAAGAGTATCAGTTGTTAAAAACATGCTTAATGTAAATGGGAAATAATCATTTATTACAATATTTGTTAATCAATTAATCAGATGATATGATAATATTAAAAACAAAATATTCGATGATATGATATATTAGAATGGGAAATTTATAATTATTTATCATTGTCATTTGTTTATCTGTATTCATTTCAGGTAATATCAAATTTTCATATTCAAATTTAATGATTGAAAAATTTTATCAATCATAATTCGTTTTTTTTACTTTTAATTAATTAAATATTTCATTGCTTGAGAAGATGAAATATTTCTTTTTAATTTTGAAATAATTTCTTTATTTTAACATTATCATTTCATTTATAAAAATACAAAATGATGAAATTTCATTTATTCTTGCTAATTCATAATTATTGCTATTGTTTATTAGCCTTAATTGTATTTGTCATCTTGCTTATTTTTCGTGCAATTATTTGTCTGAATATTAACAAGAATAGAATTCAACCAGTTGAAATTTCATCCTTCTTCTCTTCCAATATTTTTGAAATATGCTCATTTTCACTTGGAAATGATATCGGAAATGGTATTTGAGGATGATGACTCAATTGTGATTGCGCTCTTCGTGAATGTACCGTATCCTCATTTTCTTCTGTCACATCTTCCAGATGATGAGGCTCATTGATAATGTTAATTGAATCATGTGAAGTGCGAGCTGATAGTGTGGAACGAAATGGCAAATGGAAATAATCACCTAATAAAAAAAAAAAAAAAAAAGAATTATTTTAATTATTTTATTTATAATATGAGAAAAATTGATAATTCATATCGTTTAATTACTTAATGATTATTTATGACTATGATTACTTATCAAATATTTCAAATATATGATTATCAATTATTTCAACTTATTTCAATTATCCCGTTTATAATATGAGAAAAATTGTTAATCGTTTAATTACTTAATGATTATTTATGATTGCAATTATTTCATTTATAATATGAGAAAAATCGATAATCCATATTGCTTACTATTACGTAGTGATTATTCTTCTGATTACGATGATAAATTTGTATATTTTTAAAATAACACTTACCTAAGCTAAATCGTCGTTTTGTATGACTGATGACATCAAAAATTTGTGAATCATTTCCAAATTGATCATTTCGTGATAATTCTTTATCATCAACAATTTCACTTTCATTTGTTGTCCTAAAAATTTGCATTTGAAAGAAAAAAAAGCGATAAAATTATTTTCATATTAATTATTTTCTCTGTTGATTTTGTTTTTTCTTTTTGAACAAATTTTGATAATTAAATAATATGATAAAATTAATGAAATGATAAAAGATAAAAGTATAAAATAAATTTACCTATTCAACGAAGCTGCTCTTAGCAAATAATTCAATGGATTTCGTATTGAATCTGTACTATGCGGTAATGGCATCATTTGAACTTTTTTATCATCTGATAATCTTAAATTAATTCTTATTAATAAGTAATAATGGAAAAAAAGATTTTAATTCGTATGAAAATTTCATTAATTTAATAGATTTCATTGTTGCAGAAAATGTTATAGTGTAGAAATCTTGTAAATTTCATAAATAATTAAAATTGAAATTTGTTAAATAATATACTTAGGAGGAATGAAAATGGATAATACAACCTAACATGCGCAAGAGAACCGGTGATACTGCTCATTCGTCGTTCAAGTATCATTGATTGTTGAGTATAAAGTGGTTCAATAGGTCCATCCCAAAATGGATCTTTTTCAATTGATGGTGGTTGATTATAACCCATATCAACAATCATTAAGCCCACCTAAAAGTTAAATTATATACTTTTTTTTTTTTGCGCAACTAATAAAAAAATTATTTTGGAACTTGAAAATTTCAATAACTTATTTTGATAAAACATTATTTTGGAACTTAAAAACATCAATAACTTACTTTAACAAAACATTATTTTGAAACATAAAAACTCCAAAATTTACTTTAACAAAATACTGTTTTGAAATTCAAGAATGTTATTTAAGCATTTAAAAATTTCAATACTCACTTCAATATGATAATTTAGAATTCTTTACAATAACTTACTGTCTGACATATTTATATGAGCAATATCTATTAAAGAAAGATTAAAATTAAAATCCATTTCATCTTCTTAAATTGATATTTTATTTGCACTTTTTTAAATTGATTTTTTTTTTAAAATTTGCATATTCTTGAAGTCATAAGATAAGGGAAAAAATAAGTTGATATAATTTTTTCCAAAGAATTTAGTGAAAAAATAGTTAATTTTTTTGAATTTTATTCAGTTTTGTTAATTTTTTCAAATATTACTTTTTAATAATTTCAATTAACATTTGTTGATTTGAAAAAATCGATTGAAACTAAATGGCAAAAAATATTCGAGAATGGAAAATTTTAGACAGAAAAAAAAATAAATTTTATAAAATTTTAAACATACAGAAAGATTTTTATCGAGCAAGAAATTACATTCAAAATCATCATCATCTTCACCAAATGGATTAAGTATTACTTCGGCTACTTTTAACCAACCCATATAAAAAATAAATTGTAAAACGGACATGAATGGAAAAAATGCATCCACCTGAAAATAGAAATCTTTTTTTTTTTAGATATAATAAAATGATATGAGATTAGGGAAAAGTCTCTAAGTTCTAAATAGAATCATTTATAAATGTCCGTAAAGTTTTAATAAATTAAACTTTGTGATTTGAAATTTTTTTTTTGTAATTGAAAAAAAATTTGATAGTAAAGAATAGTTTTTTTTTTTTTTAAAAATGATTTCTTTGCAATTTAATTGAAACATTTGCTATATTTTGATGAATAAGAATGAAAAGGTTAAATTATTGAAAAGATCAAACATTGTTTACTAAGTTAACTATCATAGTTTATTTTCAATTTAAATTAAAATATTTGTTATTATTTTGAATGAATAAAAATCAAAAGGTCAAATTATTCTGATGATTAATTACTAATTGCTAAGCTAGCTGTTATAAATCATTCCGAAGTAAACAATGCATTGTTTAAATATTAATAAATAATATCAAATTAATAGATTCAATATCTTTTTAAAATATTACTTAATTTTTTTTATTCAACGTTAAAATTTTTTTAATTAAAAATTAAATTTATAATTATTGCTTACTTTTGATTTATTTGGTGCATCATCTGAAAGAATATGTTGACGTGATATAGCGCAAACAAAAAAATACAAATGAACGCCAAGAACAACAATTTGCGCATACATAATAGGTAATGGTACCCAATCAAAATTGTATAAGTTTGCCATATTTGTACGAAATCGTTTAATTTCCTGCAGAAAAAAAAAAACGAAATTTATTTTTATTTCTTAAATTATTAATCATTTCTTTTCTTTAATTATAGCAATTAATCGAAATAATGAAATTAATTTAGCTTAATTATTGTTTTACTATTGGTGTTGTAAATATTTTAACTTATTCATTAATTCTGATCATCTTATTTATTTACATTTATTTATTTATTTGTTTACTTATAATTACAATTATTTGTTTATGTTCACTTAATTGCATGCTTATCAAATTTATTAATTATTGTCGTAATTTTATCCATTTGATATCCATTTATTATATTTACTCCTTTTAAAATTAAATTAATTGAATAGAAAATTTAAACTTCCACTTCTGTTTGTTTCAAAATTTTTTTTTTGTAATTAATGAGATAATTAATTAATTTTGGCAAACATAAAAGGATAAAAAATTTACTTCGCTAACTTTTTGCTGCAACCAATCACTTGCAATTTTTTGTTGTTGTCGTGCATCATCACAAATTGCTAATGCCCATTGAAATGGTACCCAATGCTTATCGTAACGATAATGAAGCTCATCTAATTTAGCCTTTTCATGTGACATCATAAATCCTAAATATGAATGGAAGTCATAAAATTCCATTTAGATTAAAGTATTAAATAATACACTGATTGAAATGAACCAATAAGTATTGCTTAAATTTAATTACATTAAGTTGATATCACGCTATTTAATAAGATTATCATAATTATGTTAAGTTATTAAGTCGTTTTTTTTTTTTTTAATTGAAATTGTTCTAATTACATTAATTTTTCGCCACGGTTTAGCTATATCCCTTTTATAGTTCCATTAATTATCATCATGTTATCTGATAAGATTGTCGTAATTACGTTTTTTTTTTTTTTAGACATCATCTTTCTGGATATCATCATGTTATCTAATAAGACTATTGTAATTCAATTAAATTATCATCACGTTATCTGATAAGATTCCCGTAATTACTTTAGTACCTTAGGTTATTATCATATTATCTAATATGATTATTGTAATTCAATTAAATTATTATCACGTCATCTGATAACATTATCGTAATTATGTTAGGTTATTATCATGTTATGAAATTCATGAGTAAAGCATATAATTTAAAAGGATAAATAAACGTGTAACACGTATAATCTGCATACATCAATGATGTGATCTATAAAGTAGACAGTAATTTTCATTTTAATAAAAGCTAAAAATCATTCACTCATTTGTTACAATTTGCTTTACTATTATCTGCAGTTATGGGTAAGAATACCCACCCAGAATTATAGGTAGAATACTCACCCAGAGTTATAGGTAGAATACTTATCCAGAGTTATAGGTAGAATACTTACCTCACAGCTATGGATAAAACACCTAATCCATAGTTATGGTAAATATTCAATGGAAGAAGTCATCAAAATAAAGAAATGACAAAAATATTTGACATATTTAAATGACAATATTTTAAATGACAAATTTCAAAATTTCACACAGTCATATTAAATGAAAGAGTAAAATTATTGAAAAATATTTTTAAAATTCATTCAATTATGGTTTTTTTTTTTTGTATATTTTCTTTAATNTAAAAAAAATAAACAAATATTTGCTGTTTCATTAAATTGATGATGATTATTAGTTGATTAAAAAATAAAAAAAAAAATATTTAAATTTAAACTTCTTTAAACAAACCTCCAGCAACAACAGAATCTAATGTTGGAAAACGTTTTCGTACTTTCATGCTAATATCACGAAAAACAAGTGCTTGTGATAAGACACAATAACGAACAATGTTACGACGCA